CGTTCTTGTTAAGATTTACACAGTTTTATGGATTTTTAATGGTGAAGATTATTATTCAAATATTTTTAACATATTTAAAATTGGTTCAATTGATGTTTAACTTGTATTATGTGTTCATTCAAATCACACATCACATCTCATTGCAACCAACACTTTTTTATAAACAAAAAATAAATACACTAACCTCTTCCTCTTGATGTGGATGGATGACTAGTAACTGGTGAAGAACTTGATGTTGGTACCAAATTGTTATATGTCAAGTCTTCTCTGTTATTGTAGCCACTGGATAGTGATAAATCGTAACTGTTATGTCCTTGTGATATGGCTTGTGGATTTTGTGGTGTACGAGAACGAGTCCTTGAAGCAACACAGTCAATAGCTGTTAAATTTAATTCTGGCAAACTTGTTCTTGCAGTACTACGAGCTCTTGTACTGTTCCCACTAATATTATAATTTGATTGCTGAACTTTATGTTGAGGCCTCCAATCAGTATCTATAGAAAACAATCACCAAATTTTATGATTAGAAACAAAATAAATTTAATAAATCATTGCCAATCAAATATGTCAGTTATACTTATTTATATTTACAATTTATAATAAGTACAATTACCTAGATATGATTCTAAGCCACTGCCATGACTTTTACGTTCACCTCTTGCTCTACTTTCTGTTTTCAAAGAATCAGTTGAATGTTTATAAGAAGTATTATTAAAAACTTCAGATGATTGTGGATCACCAATGGTTTGTCTACGTCTTTTTTCTTCTACAGTGACTGCAATAGAACCAGTGCTCTGTCGTTTTCTATAACCACTGCTACCACTGCCAGAGCTCTTCCCTCTAACCTTAGAGGTGTCTGCTGAAGCATTGGCCGTCTCTACAGACCCCCCTGATGACAACTGATCTTGTTGATCTGCCATAGATTAATCGACTCATGCCACTATTCTGTCTGTAAAATAAGAAATAAATATTTTTAACAACTGTTTTTCACAAAATGAAGAAATGAAAGAATTTATGAAATTGCATATAAAAATCATCAAAACATATCATTATTTTTATAAATATCAAAAATAATTATAAAATGAACAAAATCCCAAGCACCACTTATATAAT